AACATTTGGAGGCCCCTTCCTCCCCCCCACCCCCTCACAACTTTAAGCAATGCTGTGAGGCAGGTTGCAATTATGAAGTTTCACAAGAAAGAAATAAGAAATGGACCACAAGCTGAGCGAGCACACTTCTGAATAGGTATTAGTGTCCAGGCTACCTAAACCTGATACAATCCATCAGTCTGGCATGTTTGAAACAAACGTGGTGTGGTTTCACAACAATTTAAAAATCAACCCAAGTTCCTCCACCTTCTTCCCTCCCTGAAGCTTGTCTGACCCCTCAGAAAAAACACCTCTCTGATAAACGGAGAGAAAAGTAGTCACTTCCTCAGCTGGGTTAGTTTTCTTTGGCAATCTACAGGCCTGAAGCAGCTCACCAAAGGGTCAGGACAGCAGAACTGCAGAATAGCCCTAACTTAGATTCACTAAAGGTGTCATGGAACTGCACGGGCAGCAAGTACTTAGATTCCACTTTGTTCTCATTTTAATATTGGCCTTTTCTGTAGAAAGTGATCCATGTAATTGACCATCTTTTCTGGAGACAGAAAGACAGCAGTCCTTAAATATACTAACAGTAAAATGATGAGAAAATGATCATTTATCTCTGCAGATTAAGCTGTTCAGAAAACACCTATCAAGAAAAAGCAGTACCAATCCTTTGTTCTGCAAGGAGAACATATACTATCACTGTATTTCTTCAACAAATAGCTTCTGGCTCTCCACAATATTTTATCTTAGCTAACATGGCTGTTTACACTTTTCAGCCGTTAACACTAAGTTTGCACAAGTTTTGTTGCCCATAACAATACTGTATTGCTCTACTTGGCTCCCATACGGCAAGATGACTTCTTCATTACCTAGGAACTTAGTTTAAGTCTGCAAGGATAGACTGCAAGTCCCTGAGGCACCAGCCTTGCTCTCGCCCACTTCCACAGCACTGACTGCTGGAAGGGTTTCAAGAAAGTACTGATGACATATGTTCAAGACCATTTGCCAAATGTATGTCAAATACTGAGATTTTAATATTACATGCCAATGAGGGGCTATTTGACAGCCTAGAAAAGAGATACACATCCCAGCATACACACACCTGCTAAGTGCCTCAAGAAGCAATTTTCTTTTGGATCACGTACAAGAAATATCCGTTTTGCAGGGAACTGGTTATACTCTGTGATCACAACACAGGCACTAACTGTCCAAGGACAGATCTCCACGAAAGGTTGCATATTATACAAATGTCGTTCCTTACTACCAGCTCTTCTCTGAAATGAAACTTTCCTGCTCTTGCCACTTCCTTCCCACCCTGTCACCCCCTAATCCTCATTGAGCCTTTCCTGTGACCCAGCTTCAGCTGTCAAAACCTCCTCTACACCAGCACACAGATGTGAAACCCAAGCTATGAAGTCAAGCAGTTTTATTAACAGCCTATTTCATGCCTTTCCTTGGACTTCATTAGGCCTTACACCTAATATCTATATCTAATGATACTGTAACACTTTAAGTACATCATACCTAATGAAAACAACCACCTGCTCAGAAAAAATATGCATGCCATAATAGACAGCAGCCAACTTACTTGCTAGAAGAAGACAGGCAATCGAAATGACATACAGTTGCTTGACAGCAATATCGTAGCGGTCCATAAAGAGGTCCAATAAGTAGATAGCAAGATGCCGGGCTGTAGGACAGAGATTACAACGGTTGCTGAGGACAGCCAAGAGATCAATGAAGTAACGGCGCATCCCAATCTGTGGTGAATGGGCCTTATACATAGGCAGCTTAAGTTCCTATAGGAAAAATAACAGGAGGGAAGAGAGGCACTGAAACAAATACCATGTCTGTTAGCATTTTTTGTACTAGCATATTTTAGCATTATAAAAGCTAACTAATGAGCTGACAGACCTTATTTCACATGTAATATGAAAATTTTCATATGAAAGGCAGAATTATTGCTGATTTTGGTCCCTCTATGCTGGGAAAATAGATCACTTCAGCTAAAAGGTTTTTAAACACAAGTTTGCAGCCAGTATTCAATGAGTAGGTTAAGGGATGGATTAAAGAACTCGGGAACACCCACACCAAGCTAATGCTTTTTAAAAGCTGACACTTTTACTATAGACGTGGTCATATACTAATGCAGCTGTCCTGGACAAACTCAAATTGAAAAGGGATAAGTACATGTTGATAGACACACACACATATATACGTACATAAAAAAGCACCGTCTCAGCAAGGTACATCTCCTAAGCGGAAGATAATTACCATGTCATTTTTGCATTATGCATGTACAAAAATAAAGTAATAGAATGCTACAAAATAGACATGCTTTATACTGTAATACAAAGTGGCACATAGAGCAGTTAATTCCGCTAAACAAATCAGGCCTTAAAAAAAGCATTCGGGGAAGCATCTGCACTAGCTACAGCACTTCCAGCATTAAGAGACACCACCTCCTGCAGCGGGCGCAGCGGCTGCCAACGCTCCCTGTAGCCCTCCTACCGGACATTCCCCACGGAGGTTCAACTTATCAGGAGAAAATAGCAACACAATCACACGCAGAGGGGCGCAGATAACTGGAAACCGGAGAGCCTCCATCACCAAAAGCAGCTCACAAAGACAGCAAGCAGAGCGCTGTTATGGATGGTTGCTTCCCAGGCCTTTTTAAAAGAGCCAGTGAAAAACCATATTCCGGACTGAACAGACACATGCTGTGGACAGGCAAACAGCCCTTTGAAACCTGGGGCAGCCTTCACTGGGGAGATTATAAAAAAAATCCCCCATCAGTAACAATTTATAAAAAGGGAGACAATAGAACATGTTCCCTCCTGTGGTTTCATACCCAGAGAACTCCCATAAATCTAATTTTTTAATTGCCTTATGTACTGAGATTTAAATGTGTCAATACAACTGACATGCATTATGAATATGCTATGAATTCCTGCTCTGAACCTCTGTAAGTATTTTGGCAGGAATGGTTTCAAGCTCAAGGTTCATATCAAGGAAAACAGCTGTATTTCATATTACATCAACACAAAGTCCAAGCTATCATACGAACAGGTGGCATCTCCAGCTCTGAAAAGTTTCATTCTTGGTGACAAAGAGTTTCAAGTTTTGTTTTCTGAAGTGTCTTTGCTCTTTCAACACCTAAGTCTCCCGGCAAAACCTAAGTGCTAGGTAAACTGAAGTTCAGCTTTTTTAAAATGAAACTTGCTTTTTAGACCATAACAGCAAGTGCGAGAAACCAAGAGTAACTCCAGTTACACGTCTAGCCAAAAAAACCCAACAGGTCTAAAAATGAGCTCAGAATGAGAAAGAGATCCAAGGTCCAGACACAAATATCCGGATCCTCAGAAACCTCTTTCCAGAATTACCCCTGCTCAGCCTGCTTTGCTGGAAAACTGCAAGACCAGTCAAAGCCCCTGAATTTAAGCCAATAAGATTATTCTGCTGCGAGTCTAACAGAGACGTTTATTCCTATATAAAATCATCTTGTTTTTAAATGTTTTTTACGTTTTCTTTTTTTTAGTAAAAGTGTAAGTGAAAACAAAAGGCATTGATTTTGTGCACCAAAATAAAACCATATGGGGGTCGGTAACAGTACAGACAAGGCTCAACTACAAGAACAATGTTAGGAGGAGCAACAGCAGAAGTGCGAGAGCCATGTGCTGTGGCTTCATACAAGGTCAAGTTCCTAGGTTTTAGTTGATCCAGGGTAATTATCTGTGTGCAGACAAGGCAGAGGTTTACCCGCCCGCAGGCTGAAGCGGCTAACAAGTACTTCAGCAGG